ACCCAGCTTTCTTGGCATGCCGCAGAGTGTAGGCAATGCAAGATGCAAGTTTCCTGGAGCCCGCCATTGCTGTACGAGGGGGAGGAAACCTAATTGGAAAAGTCACTCTTCTGAGTCTCGTAGCCAAAGGACTTGAGCCCCTAAACCCCTAAACCCCCAAACTTCTTTCAACATCCACCAGGGACGAGCCTCCGAGCAAAGGCACTGGACGAAAACGTTGCCAATCTGGAATCCCTTCTTCTGCGTCTCCTTTCGTCTAGGCTGACATTGGGGTGTTCCTCAGTCCTGTTCACTACAGTACTAATGCTACCACTACCACTACCACTACCACTACCACGACTACTACCACTACCACTACCACTACGACTACTACTACTACTACCACCACCACTACTACTGACTACTGTGTACAGCAAAGGACAATCCTCCAGTCTGTGGCAGATTTTAGGACAATCACCTCTGGACTATAGACGCGAGTAGGAGAGGAACCGTCCCCGCACTTCCATGCCAAAAGCCGGCCAGTCCTCTTCCGTAGCAGCCCCCTGAAGTGGGTTTATTTACGGTTCAGGGGTGTCGGGAGTACTTAGACGGGCGGGCTGGAGCTTGAGGAGCCGTGTAAGGGGTGGAAGCGCGAAGTTCAAAAAACATAAGCACAGCATGTAGGTGGCAAACGGCGGGAGGAGACATCCCTCTGAGACGCCTTTTTAATTTTCAGCTGCTGCTTCGCAACAAATCCGAAGACTCTGATGTCGGAGTCTCTTCCGACGATTCCTCGGAGTCGTCGCTGAGAGAGGCAAGCAAGCGAAACGAAGCACAACATCTGCGAGATGGTCGGACAGATTTGCCTTGGGTGCTCTCTGCCCGGATCACACAGCGTCGCAAAATTCTCCCGACTTGCCGGGAACGCTCGCTCCCATCCACCCACTGTGAAAACAAACCCATCTCTTCGCCAAACACGAGCTGCTGGATTTTGCAGTTGAAGACTTCCACATCTGCGATCTTCGCCATGATCATTTCCTTGTCAGCTTGAGACGAAGCTGTGCATTGTCTGACATCTAAGAGTGAGAGCCTGTCGTAGTTCTGATCCACGGCATCTTGCGACGAAACTTGTATTCGAGATTCCATGCCCAGCACGTTGGCCTCGAATATTTCTGCAACACACCACGCCCGGTAAAGCACGTCGAAGGCGTCATCGACGACGATGAGTTGAGCGAAGCGCCCCACCTGTTGGGCTAAATGTGTCATCATGTCATCGAACTTGTTGAGTTCACACCTTGCGTCAGTGTGGCTGAACACCTTCTCCACCAGACAGTTGCAAAGCACGAAACCCTCACCAGTGACCGAATCATGCCTCCTCCTGTCCCAAGCGGCCCATTCGGGAGTCCCCTGCGGTGGTTCGGGCCCGAACCCAGCACAAATACTGGCATGCTGGTTGATGCAGAAGGCACACACCCAGTACGTCGTCTCCTGCTTGCCGCCTAACTTCTCCTGCACCCGTTCAAGGCCTGATGCTGTGGCAATCTGGGCCGCAACCTCCTGATAGGAAGCCCGTCCCAAAGCATCCGCCAGGATTGCCGAGACAAGACTTCCAAAGCCGTTGGTCCAGTTGTGAGTAACCATGACTTGTGGCTTTGTTTCGGCACTGGACCACTTCGTTGCTAGGGCACAGCCGCCATATCCAAGTCGAGTTTCCGGGATGATGGCACGTCGAACCACATCGTTGGTCAAGGAGCGTTGCGGGTCGAAACCCGTTATCAATTGACCATCGATAAGTCGTTTCCAGAAGGTGAGAAGCTCGCCAAGGCGAAAGCCCCGGTTTGCCAGCTGCTTCACGACCTTGTCGTAGACTTCCTTTTCCCTGGGGCTTAGCAAGCTTGACATTGACACGAGTCCTCGTGTAAGCTCGCCTGCAGACTGCGGGTCATCGTTGGGAGGTTGCACTTGCCAAAGAATCCCAGACAGAAGGCCCAATCCTACTGAACTCACCACCCAGTTGGTGCTTTCGGCTTCGTCCACTCGCTCCTTCCATGAAATCCACAGCCGATGATTTGCATCTGAGGGAGCGCGCCACAACCGCACATGCGCGTACATGCATATGCCAGAGACAACGTGATGGTACCATGTGCCTAACCCCAGCAGCGTACATATCAGCATTTCCATGCCAAGAACTTGCACGGCCCAGATAGCCTGTTTCCTTGGAGGCCCTCGAACTCGCCCCGTCTCTCGCAGCAAAAGATGAAATTTGAGTGCCAAGTTCCAGTAAATTAGCGCCGTGTATGCAAACCAAACGATACAGGGCACAGACAAGCTGACGACGAAGGGCCAAATATTCACAGACTCACCACCCGAACTTGAAATTGAAGATTCTGCTATAGTTACAGAAATTTCGCGTGTAAGCCAGCTGCTGCAAAGGACAAGTAGCCACATTTGTGAACCAGAAATCGAACAAGAGGTTTGCTGCAAACCAGACCAGATGCCCAGCATCCGCATCTGCAGCAAATACAAAACCCAGCCAAGACCAACGCCTTGCGCTCCACAACGGAAATGATTCAAGCAAGTCCCAGTTTCTCTCTGCTTCAACTCCAGACATATGAATGAAGCCTGCCACGATGCCGACACCAGCCAGAACGCGAACATGCACCATTTTGCATCGTGTGTGCAAGTAGACTGCGGGTGCTTTCTCAGCATGCAGCAAATCCATATCAGCGAGAGCAGGAACAGAGGAATGGTCTGCGGCCCGGGGCCGGACGTGAAACCATGCTGATGCTGAGGCAGGCGCAAGAACGGAAATGCCCAGAGCACGCATGGATACCCAACGAGACAAGTAGAGAGAAAAGTGATCAAGCCGCAAAGCACGACCGTGCATCTCCAGGAGCCGCGCCTGCCCGCCGAGCTGCCAGGGACATGCACCAGTCCGAGGCAAAGCCCCAACCAAGTGCTCACAACTTGGTAAATGTGATCTTCACAAAGCGCAATGGACACTTGCAGCAGCACCAAAAGAAAGCTGCCATACAGCAAGCGCCACTTGACTTCAAAGGCAAGGCGCCATTGGAATGCAAAGGCCATGCAGAAAGCACTACGAGCCCAACTATATACGCTCGAATCTTATAAACTCCGTCAGCTGCGCACCTTGTAGTCGACAATACGAATGAGTGAAGAAAGCATTGCCATGCTGCACTAGAATACACTAGAAAAAAACACTTGACGCCGCTGTTGATTTATTGGGCTTCTTCAATGTGGTGATGGTGCGAATGCGGGGATGAGATCTTGGCTGAAGGGCTGATTACGGGCTCGGCCCGCCACTTTAGATTCACAAACACGAGCGCGATACGTGAGCCAGGTGAGCGCGTGCAAGATCCCCTTTTGGGATTCAATATCAGGCTCAAGGTCTCGGTGATCACGCTTGGAGTCTCCAGACGAAGCACGTGAGGCTTCAGGCTTTAGGATAAAGAGGGAAGGGGCATCAAGTGGTATGTGTGCAAAATTCTTGCTATACACGCATACATACACACAGAGAGAGAGAGAGAGAGAGATATATATATATATATGTCTGTGTATACATATACAGCTTATACATGTGTATATATATATACATGTATATCAGAACCTGGGGCAACGTATGAGTATTCATTCGAACCCGTATGGCCGCTGACAGGCCAAGACTGATGCTGCTTCAAGAATAAAGTGAGGGTGCACTGTAGAAGCCACCAATCTAACATAGGGGGCTTGACCGTGTGAAAAGTGAAAAGGGCTTGGGACCTGTTTTACTACCAATATGAAGAGGGCACCCAATCAGGAATACTCATAATTAGTCCTCTTAATTATACATTTAATTATTCAGAATTTCATCTTACTAGAACCAAAGTCGATCGATGCTCCAAGCCCGGAGAAAGCTGCACAACTTCGACGAAACCTTCCTAGTGGTAGAGAATACACCACGAAAGCCGCAGAGCCCCCATCCCACAAATCGTAAACACTTTACTAAATCCTTAATAACACTCTGCACACTTTCTACCCATAGGCTCCTAAGTAGTTCCTTTTTGTGGTTTGCATTTTGACTCCTATAAGGTAATTAATCCCAAAAAGGATCTACTTAGGAGCCCATGGGTAGAGAGCTGGAAGCGGATGAGCCGCTGCCTTCTGCGCCTGGGCCTGGCCGGCCGCCTTGATCCCGATGTACTGGTAGACCTGTCTCTTCGGCTCGGAGGGCTTACAGGTAAGGGTTTAGGGTTTCAGGGTTTTAGGGTATAGGGTTTTTAGGGTCTGGGGCTTTAGCGTTTAGGGTTTTAGGCTTTAGGGCTTTAGGGTTTAGGGCTTAGGGCTTATGGTGTTCAAGCCGCAGGGCTTTTCGGCTACGGCTTGCTGCGGTTATTGAGTCACATGGACATAGAAGGCCTTCAGGCGTACATGTTGGAGGATATTTTAAAATGTTATAGTGTATGACAAATATAGTAATATATGTATATATATACTAAAACATAACATACGAAATATAGTCAACATATAGTCAACCCGGATGCACTTCCAAGCGGCATTGTCGTTTGCCAGGTCGTAGAAGCTGCGCTTGGCCTCTTTGCTGGAAGGTCTCTTGACAACGGTCTCTAAACCTTAAACAAGCACATGAAACCCTAAAGCCCCAAACCCTGCCATCCTAAACCGTAAACCGTAAACCCTATACAGCCCTTATATAATCCATAGACCGTAAATCCTGAACCCGAAATCTGTGAACTCTGGGGGTGTGAAATCCACCAGAGAGGTTGAGGATGGCAGCTCATGGTCTACCTTTGCCTATAGGGCATAGGCGTTTAGGGTTTAGGTACTCTTTAAACCTTTTTCCCTACACCCTAAACATTGCTCCTAGACAGTACTATGATTTTGTGGATGCATTCGATGCCATAAAGGAGACGTCCACAGTTAACATGCTCCATGCCACCGCAGGCCACTGCTGCTCTTCCTTTCCCTGGTAAACAAGGGCCTGAATGGTTAGAATTCTTTTGCCTCCCACCTGAATGGTTAGAATACGGTTTGGGAGGTTCTTACAGCTACATATAGTATACGTGTACTATGGAACCACAAGACTTGCAATAAAACAAAAATATACTGGGAGAGCATGCTAGGCTGTAGTATATTATATATCGGCAAAGCACAAAACCAAGAAGCCCCGCAAGCAGTCGTTGTGATGCACCCTGAGATCCGGACTCACAATCCCACTCCGTTTCCTGTAGCCTGCCCAAAACCCTAAACCCTAAAACCCTAAGCCCTAAACGCCGATAGCTTTAATTGACTGTCTGAGACTGAGATGTCAGAGGTTAGCGATCTTGTAGACCTCAGGTAGCGTACCATCAGGCACCGCATAGCCAAAGTAGGTACTATGTAAACTCTTTAGACCCAAAGTAGGTACTCGACATTCGTATACTCGGAGTCTTAGCGCTAAGCACAACAAGCACAAAGGCTCAAAGCCCTGTTCTCCCGATTCTCGAAGGGGCCCATGACCTGAACACCCTGTAACATCATGCATGGTATGGGTAGTTATCTAAATTGGGATCCCTGTAAGGGTCCTTTTTGTATGGGTGCCCTATCATATTTGGGATCTAAAAAGGACCCCAATTTAGAGAACTACCCATATAGAGAGAGTTAGCTTTACACATGCTATTATGTCATTGGATGTCATTGAGTCATTGGTACTCGATGTTGACTATGATTGACGACTCTATGGGAGCCCGGCAGTGCCAAGCAGGGTGTTGAACTGCAGCTTGCTGACGGTCCACACATCCATCGTCACGAACTGCGATCAGGAGCCCGATCCATTTGCTCTAGAGTGCGTTGTAAGGTTCAGGGCTTGGGCTTTAGGACTGACGGGTCCTACGTACCTATGTAGTGGAAGGTAGGGTTTCTTTATTAGGAATATGTAGTCTAGTAGTATGATGTGGGAAAGTATCCTCCAAATCCCCCGTAAGAGGACCTAGGACCCTTCGGGAGGGGATGGGGGGGTTGGCGGAGTTCCGGCTACAACGATCTTTGGGATCTGCAAGCGTCGAGGATGCCAGCTGCGTCCTCAGATGACGGCGTCTTGCGAACGCTGTCCCTCTGACTTCAACCTGCCGACGCTATGAAGGCAACAAAAAAACACACCTGAAAGTCTGCACCCCAAGGGCCCTTCAAATCTCAAATTGGCTGGCGGAGCTGCTCTCCTTACAGTGCTAAGGCTCGAAACGGATCCGCAGCAGCCCCAGTAACCCACAAACCAAAGACCCTAAACCCTAAAACCCGAAACCCAATTTAGGTAACCAAAGCCCTATAGGATGCTAAGCCCAGAAACTCTAAGGCGCCAACATGATTCTGCATCTGCTTGTAACCTCGGCCCCAGGCAAAGAAGATGTGAATTACCCAGGACTGGTCATCTTTGCAAAACTAAGTACATAAGGAAATTATTCGTCTCCGGTATTAAGCAATGTTTTGGTGTTCCTTTGTTTCAGCAAACCTTAATACCATAGTTCAATGTTATGGCTCAGTCGTTTCATGCGGCGGCTTGAGCGCATGAAACACCTTCGAGCGGCGTTGCGATGCCATGAGCTTAGGAGCCCCACTCTCTTTGAACTGTAGGGCTTAGGGTTCACAGTTTGGGATTCAGGACTTTGGGGTTTAGGGCTAGGGGTTCTGGATTTGGGGTTTAGGGTTGGGTTTGAGGGTTAGGGTTTGGAGGGTTTAGAGTTTCAGGGTTCCGGATTTGGGGTTTAGGATTCAGGGTTTTGCGATTTAGGGGTTTACGGGCTTTGGGGCTTAAGGTTCCGGGTTTGGGCTTTGGGTTGGGGCACAATCCAGCCTGGAAAGGAAACATGTACTTCGAAAGTGCCGCGCATGTGTCCGGGGTGCCGATCGTGCTCCCACCGACGAGGTGTCTACCGAACTACCTACGTAAATGGCTAGGTATATAGATACGGGGACAGATAGATGGACAGATAGATAGGCAGATAGATAAATAGATAGGTAAGCTGAGAGATAGATAGGCAGATAGACAGAAAAATACCGCTTGTACATGCACGATCGCGAGATGATTAAAGCCGTGCAGCTCAGGTTGTGCTCTTTGCTGTAGACTTGCTCCATTCCTCGGCTCAAGGTCTGCGCTTGAGGATCTGGAGAAGAGGTCGTTGATATATCGATCTTGCAATCGCACTTTGGGGCGAAGGGTTGAGAGATTTGGGCTCAGCCCAATATCTGAACCTGAGGAGCACGCTTTTGAACTTCTTCCGGGTACCGCCCCTGAAACAGTGAGAGGACATGCAGCAAAGCGTGAGTCACAGGGAACGAGCGGCAAAGGAAGGAGAGCGAGAGAGAGAGAGAGAGAGATATATATATATAGAGAGAGAGAGAGACAGGCAACTAACATCAATAGAAGCAACACATCAAAAGGGAGCGAGAGAGAGGGAGAGAGACAAAGAGGGAGAGAGAGAGAGAGAGAGAGCGAGAGAGAGCGAGAGAGAGCGAGAGAGAGCGAGAGCGAGAGCGAGAGCGAGAGCGAGAGCGAGAGCGAGAGCGAGAGCGAGAGCGAGAGCGAGAGCGAGCGAGATGGAGAACGAGAAGGAACAAGGAGAGAACCAGTCCTGGGTCGGGCA